TTTAAGGTCTTTGAGTCTTTCATAGAATGAATAACAGAGTAGCTGCCAATTTCCCCTCTACTCTCTCTCTCTCTCCCTCTCTCTCTCTCTCTCTCTCGCTCCTCTCTCTCTCTCTCTCTCCTCCGTCTCTCTCTCTTCCTCATCTCTCTTCCTCTCTCTCTCTTCTCTCTCTCATCCCTCTCTCCGTCTCTCTCTCTCCTCTCTCGCTCTCTCTCTCTCTCTCTCTCTCTACTGTATTCCACTGAGGGCTTTTTTCTGCGGTAGTATTAGAGCGAGGTACTCTGCTAAACATAGGCAGCTGAAGACTTCACAAGGACTCGGGTTGGCCCCCCGCAGTGACCTCCAGCCAGCTTCTGATGGAAATCTAACCAAGCATCACACCCAATTTGGGACTTGGAGTAAACAAACAGGAGTGCTCTTCAAAGGTGGAGCCACTAGCAGACAGAGGAATGGGGTCTCTCTGTTCAGCTCTATTCCCTCAGTACCCCCTAAAAGCATTGGCTTGCATTAGAAAAAGTTGAAAAAACAAGTTAGCATAATCTATGTTTTGTCCAAGAATCTTAGATGTGTAAAATTCTATAGCCCTGAGTTTAGGATTAGCTGAAAAGAGTCCAGGAAGCTTATTTACAAGTTAACAGTGTTTAATAAAACAATGGTACAATGATACAATGAATTTGCAATGAGTGACTCGGGCCCGAGTCTGCTCTCTCTCCGCAGTCGTGGTGGGACGGCTGGAAAAGAGACAGACTTCCTGTTGGCTTCCCATATTATCCTCTGTAGTCTTCTCCCATTGGCTTAGCGTCTTCCTCTTTGGCTTTATGGTGATGTGGCATAGATTGTCTCCCGCGAGTGATTAATAACGTCAATAAGGAGCATTAGACTTTGTGTATTTAATATGTAACGCCACAAGTCACATTTTTCACAAAATTAGATTGGCCAATTGATCACTGCAATTGCAATGCCAATCATATGGGACATGAGATTAGGAACAACAAATTCACCAAGTATTTTATTAACAATACATGAGCACACAATAATAATTTACCATAAGTAATCAGACATGCACTTTACTTTAAGGAGTACATAGCAAGAACAGTAAATGCATTAGTACATGTTGTTCTCTTTTGATATTTATATTATTTTTTGATTTCTCTTTGTTGATCATAATAAGTATTCCATTTTTCCCTTTGTGAGAATATCATGCCAATCTATGTTGGTGCTATGTTAACACTTTTTTCTTGCTCTTGCCAATAGTTCAGTCTTAAACACGTGAATCTTTTTGATCTGGTCTAATCCAGATTGGAATGACCACCAAAATCGAATCATCTTGTCCTATGCCAAGTTTCTGTCCATGACACTTAAGCCACAGTTTTTAGGAACTTTCTACAAATATTCTCTATGGATTTGTGTTTACACATTCACTTAAATACAACAAATGTGTGTTTGAGTAATTGTATTCAGCTCTTTTTGGATGAGGTTGGGTTGCATTGGATGGTTGCCCTGCTCTGCTTGGCTGAGACAGGGCTCCTGATTTTATTACAACTTAATTCAATTTTAATTGGCAATACCGGGTTGAGTATTAAACTTTATGCTTTTTATTCACCTCTGTTTAAACGAGCTAGTGCTCTCTCCTCTATCCTCACCTGTCCTCTAAATCACTTGGCTCAGTCAAGCGGGTGAGCTTAATATCCTTCCCTGTCAATAGCCGCTGAGAGGAGGCAGACTTTATGTTCCTTAGGTCTCATGACAGCCACTCTGAAATGCTGGCCTGAGGGCAGGAGCTCAAACTCATTCTGCTGCGGCTGGTCAGGGCAGTCTTGAGAGGTATTGGCTTTCCTCAGTGCTGCCTGTTATACTGTAATTGTGATAGCTATACTCGATTTACCCCAATGATCTCATTTGTCAATTTAACAAGTCTCCTAAGCTTTTTCTTACTGAACAAGTTTAAGTTTAAGTTTTCCTACCATGTTAAACGCTCCTCAGTAAAGCAAAACTTTGGTTTAACAATGAATGCAGTACAAAGTGTTCAGCTTTGACACTGAAAATAATAATAATAATACATGGGATTTTCATAGTGCTTTTCCTTATGCTCAAAGATGCTTAAGATACGATGTGTTGCATCGCCTACCAACAGTCATTAATTGTTAGTTGTACACAAGTCATCTTTTATGCGTAACCAAGTAATCACAGTTACCTAAACATAATCTGAACCACAGGGTAGCAGATCAGGAAAAAAACTCAAGTAATGCCTTAAAGAAAGGAAGGAAAGTATTTGTTTTGTCGTTTTTGTAAAGAAAAGTCTTGCAGTGATTTTATTGTAGTGTAGTTCTCACAGCTCACTGAGGATGTTTTTAAAGGTCCCATGTCATGCTTTTCCGGTTATTACCCGTTCCCTTGTGTGTTATGTAGCTTTTTACAGTATGCATGTAAACGGTCTGCAAAGTCACAAACCCTCAAAGTACACCCTCTAGCGAGTAAAACTCTAACACAGAAAAGACCTGTCTATGCTGCCCCAGAACGCCTCGTTGGAGATTTTTATTTTTCCATTTTTGTCTTCCGAGTACCAAGTGACGTAAGGGTCTATGTGAAGTAACGGACTTCCTCACACACACACATTCACTCAGCCTTATCTTTTCTCAGCTGCAGCTCCGCGGATTTCTTAGCCTGAACTCAGCCTGAGACAGCGAGGCACAGTGGGCTCATAGGGAGGGGGGTGCAGGAGCTCCAACAATTCGTGTAGGACAGAGAGTGAATACACATACTATACAGAGATGCTGTATGAGAAACCAATGTGATTTTGGAACATTGAACAATGGAATTATGATCAGTAGAAATGGCCATGTCATGGGACCTTTAAACTAACTTGTGAACTATGCTAAAACGTCAACAATGACACGCCAAATTAAAATAGTTCAAGCAATATAGTTACAGCTAAGTTAGATGTTAGCATGGGTTTTCTCTTGATTATCATGTAAACATTAGTCTGTTGACTTCACAATTGTTTTTCCCCATTTCACCATAAGACCAAGTTGTGGCTCCATTGGGGATAGAACCCCAAACCTTCTGTGCAGGCTTGAAGACCCCCACACTTGTTTCTTATTTATGTAATATTCAATAAAAAGCCCCTCTATGCACACTTTAACACACATAATAATGCTTCACAACAGAAATGTCTCTTATAGACAACCTCAATACCCTATAATTAAACCTTTGCTTTTTCTTTTACAGTGTACAAGATGCATGATTTACCCTGGAGTGTTGATCCCTTGTATTTCATTGGCTTGTCTTGTCTCATCTCACATGAATTGTCTCACTGAATACATTTAAAAAATCAAATCAAATGGCAAAAATAAATCAGTAAAACAAATATACATTTAAAAAGGAAACAAATAGGATAATATAATAGAATCGGAGGGATGAAACCCCTCATTAATGGTCACACATGCAGAGCACACAGCACACACAGTGAAATTTGGCCTCTGCATTTTACCCATCCTAGTACCAGGAGTCTAGTACTAGGAGTAATAGGTCCAAGGTAGGGTTTTTTTCTATTCAAAATAACTGGTCTTATGTCAACAGAAACCGTTTTGCAAGGTTTTTTATTGGCAGTTTTTATGAGATGCAGTCACTTTTCCAATGGTTGGGCCCTTGCTTATACCGTCAGGCGTCGCCCCCTCAGCCCATAGAGCTGCACAGAGTCCAATGAGCACTCTGCATCAACATTTAGTTGATGACCTATGATCCTATGATCCTATGATCCTATGATGTCATTCTACTTCTGCTTAAGTGGTAGAGGAACAGTGTTTCTGCTGCCCTTTCATAGGGAGCAGCTCCCGTAGGTGTGACTATACTTTCGCTTATTGATCCACATCCCTGCAAATGTCAGTGCACAGAGATGAAGTCTTATTGATATCACTGTTCCCTGCCCTCACCACTTAACCATTAACTACACCTCAAACAAGACTTGCTGGACTTTTTTGGAGAGATTAGATTTAAACGGTAGTATCAAACACATTATTTTCACCACTGATACCTCCCTATCCGACATGATCAATAGAGCCATTCCTCTGTATTGATGTTAATATCGCAAAGTTATAATGAAAAATGTAAAGTGGCAGTTTGGTGGGTTATCCGTTTTAGGTATTGATTCATGCCGAGACTTATTCACACTAATAAGGTTATGGTCTCTGTGATTGTTTTTAATTGTTGGTTTGTTTTGACCATTTTAATAAAACCAGAGAATATTCTTTGGTTTGTATTGTATTGTTTTCAAAAGACATGATTAGATGCAAAGTCAGAAGTTAAGGTTTTGACAAAAAAGCAGGGAATCATTACAACTCTGTACCTGAGTAAATTACCTGCGTCAGATGATCTGAGTGATGTATTTTGCTGATGCAAAGTAATTGCATGCTTTTGGTGTGTTAGTGAATTCACATTTGCCAGAAAGAACTAAGTCAAGCACTGAGTGTCTGAGATGTAAAGTTATTAAAAAGTAATTAGAGTACAAGAATGGGCGTACATTTATATCTCATTGATATGCTTTCACAATTCAGAATTACCAATGCAAATTGATGAATAAACCAGAAGTGTTGTGGCTCTCTGTCAAACTGCAGTGATTAGCATGTTTGCAAGTCAATGATTTGTTTTTATGAATAAGCTATTTGTAAGCTAAGCACATTGAAATGCAATTCATACGTGATGTCGCACATCCTCTTACAAACACCTACTTAGTGTGTGTTTGAGTGTCTAGATAAAGGTCTTGTAGGTTCTTTTTGTGTTTGTGATTGTTGACTGTCAACACATTTGGATGAGGAAACAGTCTTTGGAGCAATGTCCTAGACTTATAATGAAGCAAAGAACCCTGAGGGTTTGCACTGAGTATTGTTAATGCCCAGACATGATGTAAACATATTGATGTGTGCGTAAACAGAATTAGTTAAATGTCTATGTGTGAATGTTTGATTTTTCTCTGAGCTGACATGTGTCCTCTGTTATGACAGATGCCATGTTACTGGTGGCAGACAGACTGGAGGGACCCTTCAACATTGAAGCTGTTATCGAGCCGGTCGACATCAAGATCTCTGATGCCATCATGACCATGCAGGACAACAGCATGCAAGTGTCAGCCAAGGTACCGTCTTCTCAATCAGCTATGGTCGTAATGCTATGATGCAATTTCTTTTTAACCGTTATAGAGCACAAAGTAGTTATAAAGACTGAAACATCTGGTAGTAAATCCTTTCACACTACTTCATCACTGTCTCATCAAATGACAAAAATGATTTAGCTGCAAACTGAGCTTTCTGGCTCAACATTTGAGTAAGATTTTGAAAGAGTTTATTCAACACATCAGTAAATTGTTATGAACATAATGAGGAAATATAACCATATACTGTAAAGGTGAGTCTAGTCTTTAAAAGAGAGGTGAGCAAACCTTTGGTATAGTCTGGCCTATCTTCCTGCCAGAGTTACAAAGGTCAGTTTGAATTAAATGTCACAATTCTTCTCCATATCAAAAGGGCTGCAATTTACAACTGTACCCATTGTCTATGCACTTGATGCTCCATCCCTGCACGGTTGTGCTTGGCTGACAGATTGCTCCGAGATTACAATCTTTCCCCCACGGTCGTATTTTGACCATAAGTACAGTGCTTTCATTCCTGCTGCGCAGACCTGTTGAAAATCGGTTTGCTTGTGTGATGTACAAGATAGTGGAATTGTAATCATGGTGAAGAATTGATAAATATTAGAGAAAAGACAGCCTCTTGTCCTGACAGCCATGCAGCACATTAGAGTGCTCCATCACATACAGGCCAGAGAGGAATGCTAATGAGCCGTGTGCTTTGGAGGTGAGCTGTTTGGGCCGTCAGAGCCTGTAGAGACCAAGCCATCTGAAAACAATCTATTCTCACAGTGGACCTCTATGAACTACCCATTGATTACCGGAACAAGAAATTCTATATTTTATGAAGGCAAATATATCATAGTTACAGGATGACATTGTTCTATTAAACATAAAAATATGTGTTATTGGCCACATTAAACTATGTAATTATCAACTAATTGTGTATGTATTTATGTGTTAATTGGTATGGGCCAAAAAGGATTTTGACCTAGAAATTCAAGTTAAAATCACCAGATTTTATGGGGGTAACAGCATACAAAGATTTTTTCTCTCTTTTTTGCCACCAATTTGACACTTCCTGTGAAAGGAGACTGCTCACTGATAGACAGCATTGGTTCCAGGCTGGCTCTATATAGTGTTATATTTCAAATCACAGACCAGAAATTGTGCTGTGACCAAATTGACAGAAGCCTTAAAGGGAAAAATGTTGGTTGTGTAAGTAACCCAGATCTGTTGTGGGGTCAGGATGGATGTATATTCTACCAGAGATTGACTTAGCCCTAGTTCACTGTACAACTCATGCTGATAACCTCCTTTTAACTTATCAGTACTGCAATGAGCTCACATCTTATAATAATGGAAAAATATGTTTTTAAATATTGCAAAAGCTGTGTGATTTTCCCAAGAAGTCTACTCTGTGTCGTCTTTCACTTTTGCATTGGATCTCCCTCTGTCCCATGGTCTTTTTAGGTTTTCCAAGGGTGTGGCCAGCCAAAACAATCAGGAGTTGGCAGATCTGCACGCGGCATCTCAGATGTGTTCAGTGGTCGCTTCAGACCCTACACTCCTGAAGAGAGGCCAACCACAGCAGCCGGAACAAGCCTGGATAGACTGGTGCGTTCTGAAACAACATAACCAACCACATACTACAGATTACTTAATGTACTTCATCACACAAAATGTGAATGTTCCATATCCCAGAATTTGCAGGGCTGAAACAGATTGCCACCAAACCTTAGGCTGAAGACAAATCCTCAGATATTGTTTGAGGCTATAAAAAGATTTGTTTCAATCCCCATGAAACTGAAACACAATGAGGAGTATGCTGTCAGTGCAAAGCTGCAGTACAAATCAACACGTTGTCCCTCAACTTGACAAGGTGTAAACTCAGTGTTAACCCACTCCTCAAACTCTGGTCTCTGCAGCCTACAAGTTTGCTTATTTTCCCTATTGCTACAAAATGGTTCAAGGTGCTAACAAATTTAAATAGTGAAATAGCAACATGTCAGCCTATGGGTTGGATATCATTAAACCATAACATAACCAGTGTGTCCTTTGACCAATCCATATACCAAATTATATTTTATGTAATCCTCTCTTCATTTGGCAAATCTAGCTTTAAAATCATATATTGTCTTTTTAAATAAAAGGCCCAGTTGATAATCTTCTGCTGTAGAAGTTGTTTGACAGGATTAAAGAGGAAACTATGTGGGAGAAGAGAACCAGATTAGAAGATGCAGAATGTACAGTCCAAATGTAATCTCTAAATATAAGGAAAAAACATGTTAAATTCACTAAACTGGTTGTATGAAACATGACAAGAGCCTTTGCAATGTCCTTATTCATTCCTGGATTCAACCCATATTTACATACAGTGCTGTTTAAAAAGATCAAATCAAACCGTCATCTTTGCTTCATAACATACATCTAAAAAGTGCAATAGAAAAAGATTACTAAAAAGGTGAAAGCATCTTACATCGTAAGAGATAAGAAAATGTCTTCTAAGAAAGGTGAGTTACTTACTCACTAGATCACACACTCATCTTTTCTGTGACTGAATTTCCATGTGTAAATGTATGCATATCTGATATATCTGTAAGTGTTTAAGTGATTACAGTATGTATATCTTGCTAAAGCAAGCTGATTGCATTGAATGAAACTACTGTAATTACACACATTTTCCATATGACGCTGCTGTTTGTATGCAGGTCCCAATCTTTGCATGGATCAGTTGTGGCAGCAGATTTTTAAACTGATTTCACAGAAATAAATTGGTGTGGATAAAAAAGTTTGAGGTACTAAATCTCATAGTCAGATGAGGCTGGTTGATATAATATTTCAGCAGGACCATTTATCATTAAATGTTTTGCTTCACTAACTAATAGACATTCTTTTGCTGCTATTCTCTCTCTCAGTCTCACAATTTCTCCGATGTCCAATTAAATCTCTTTCTTCTTCATTTCTCTGCTGCTCCCAGAGGGTTGTGTGGAGGACAATGCAACACAGCGTAAGCCTTCATTCCTCCTCTTACTTTCACCATGTCATATGTCTTGTGGTTTTTTAATCAACCTGCCCATAAAGCTCCGCTTCTTTACATTATTCAAAGTAGATATCGATTGCTTGTTTGTGACATGTCTGGCTGTTTATTTATTTGGTTGGCTTTTTTGGGGTGTTTCCTGGGGAGGAAAAGGTTCCAATTTCTGATTGACTGGGCGAATTGCAAACCACGCCCCGTAAAACTCAGAAAAAAGTTTTGTGAAGCCGCCATTTTATTTGCTCGCATTAGCATTATTAGCATTAGCATTAGCCCAGTGCACCAACAGAGAGAGACTAACTTATGGCAACACAAAATTAAACGTGAGAGCGGTGGAGTGATGAGGAGGTGTCGGCGCTTCTGGCGATTTACCCGGGACTTCGGGGGACTCCGGGACTTCGGGTGGCAGTATACGCCGTGAAGTTGTTTGTGGCCTGCCAGTAAACCCAAAGCAGAAGAAGAAGAAGAAGAAGTGAAGTCAGCGGCTTCATTTGCGTAATCCTCTCTCAGGGACGTAAATTACGTCATATCGGATGGTGGACCCACGGCACTATCAGAAACGTTGCTGTATCAGAAACAATTCCCGACGTGTTTTGGACGTAATAGTCTTTGTTTACATTAGCATCGCTAACACTCAGAGCTAAGCTGTACTGGAGAGAGCATGTGTAAGAAGCAGGATATAAAAAGGAACTCGCCTTGTGGTAAACCCGCAAGAGAGAAAGCCTTTGAGCTCCATACTGTTTCAGAAATAATCCTTGATCTAATAATCCTTGCGTTTCATCACCGCAGCATTTTAGACAGTATCTGCCAGGTCCCGCATGAGCCGGCATAAACTCCGTCCCCTCTTATTTATTTATTTTTCAGTTTAAAACCAAAAAAAGCTTTATACCCAGAATCAGCACTTTTGTTACAGGAAGAGAAATAGAGGAATTTGAGGCATGGCTAGAATGGGTGATCTGTTTGGTTTTTTGACCAAAACACTTCATAGACATATTTTTTATATTTTTTTATATATCTGAGACCTATGCTTTTGCTCAAAAATAGCATGATAGGTGACCTTTAAAGCAGTAATTACCTAGTGAAGAATACTGAGTGTTTCTAAGCTTTTTATCCCAGTGCATGCTGGGACAATCTTGCTGTGATGTAAACGTTAACAGAGTATGCTCTTTTTTTTTTTTTGCCTGTTGTTTTGCATGGATGTTGGTTAATAGATTATCACTATAACTAAGTATGTTTTTAAGGATTGTGTTGAAGCACTATTATAAAGTTATTTTGCAGTTGTCTATTAATCTATCAAACAATGTGCTAATATTTATGCACATGAAATCACAGGTCATCATTTCTGTGTACACTTACAATCTGCATGTTATTACAGGAACTGGGACCAAATTCTGCACACATTCTGTGATCGACAGAACGGTCAAATTGTGCAGTCAGTTGTGGGATTGTTCTGAAATCAGCTGGTTTTAAAACAAATATTGAATGGCTTCAATGAATTAAACCAAGAAGCAAGAGGTTTAGTAAACATGACTGTATTCACATTAAGCACAGGTTTATGGATAATTCATTTCTACTTTTTATTCAAGGGTATTTCTCTCAAAGCCCTTTGCAGCATGTCTCTGTCTGTTTTCGTGGGATTTGTGCTGACGTATCTCTAACAGCTGTCATTTGCATCTCAAATCAGAAGGGAATTAGATAAAGGTGCTAACATACCATATAATCATCCTCCTTTTCCAGCTCATTGCTACACAATTTAAATCTGATGGCTCTGTTGTAAAGAGTCCTATTGGTGACAAATGTAAAAATGTCTTTGCTGCATGTCGACAAAATATACTATAAATACACAGATAGTAGTACTGGTTTAAACAATGAACTCTGTTTTTGATGTGCTGTTATTTATGTTTGTCTTGGGTTGTTTTGCTTTGCCTGTTATTTAAGCGGAATAACTGGGCTATTCCCCCATACAACAGAATCGAAATTAATTGAATGATACTGTTTAATGTTTATTAATGGTATTTCCCTACAGTGTTTATAGATAAATCTGTCTTTGTGTGGTGCTGATTTATCGCTGGAACTGAATGACCTTCTCCCTTTAATCTTAGAGTAGGAGAGAGCTGTTTCACTGTCCTTTTATAGCATTGAAGATTCAGTTGTTGTTCTGTGACACAGTAGTTATATGCATATAGTGTTGTGCTCTACTACTTTTTTTTAAATATATAAAAAAAAAGGCTGTTCTTTTTAATTAAAAACATATTGTAGTGTCAGCTACAAACTCAATGCTAAGTCTAAAAAAACTAAACTTAACTACTCTTATATTATACAGTTTTTTGGCTCAGCTAAGGCTTTGATTCATGTTTAGCCATGCTACCGGTACAGCTGTATGAATTGTATTGTTGTACAGTTGTACAGTTAGTAGGTTCACCTCTTTAGTCAAAGCAAAACAATTTTGGAACTTATCAATTACCAGGAAGTTCATATAGACTTACATGGTCCCAGTTGTATACATTTAACATGACTTTAGTGTTCCTCTACCGTTTTTTGGTTTATGACTAAAATACATGCAAAACTAGAAGAATGACCCTCAGCCATAGAGTAGTTGTACTATGTGTTTGGTTCCAATTAGCAATTGTTGACATGCGACCAGGGTAAAGTTTGATGTTGGACCTGGTAAATGTAATATTTGTTATGTATTGGCTTGTTTACTTACGTTAGCATTTACTTGAAAGCACTGCTTTTCCTAAGTACAACCTCACAGGGTTGCTAGCATTCCTGGAGCTCTGTAGTTTTGTGACCTCTCGTACTCATCCTTCTGTTCATCACAGACTTTGTTTACGTTGAAGGTAAACAAATAAGATCAGTATAGTATTGGAGCAGATCGTCCACCATGTGTTCGACAGTCATATTTCTATTCTGAGGGTGTTGAGAAGAGCTCCGTACCTTGGATGAACATCAGCATTTAGATTCTTCATTTATTTTGCCAATGATAAGCAGATGTCTGATGGCACAAAATACTTTGTTCTATGTCAGCTTAAACTATCATTGCTGACAGAGCATTACTGTCAATTTCTCCATTACACAAATGCTTGCAGAAAAAGATTGATGGATGTCCTAAGGGGAAATTCGTTATTGATTTATCTGACCGATTTATAAATATTTCGAGGCTCTCTAATGGGTTGTTTGTTTTTGAGCACTGTTGGAAAGGGGAAGCAGTTGGAAAAAAAAGTAAATCTGTCATTAGCAGTGTCCGGGCCTTTCTCCACGCTCCATTAAACGTTGTTTTAGCAGAGCGCCAGGGCCAGGAAACAATCTGGCAACGACCATTTTTCTCAAGAAGTGTAAAATAAATGATCAGGCTTTTATTTCTTCTATCAATCATAGTAATTCACTGTTGATCGATACCACCTATGTAAACGTAGTTATTGTAACCACACTACACTGAGAGGATTTAAGGGTGTCATGGAGATTAAGGGAAACACACTTTGAATTTTAATTCATGGATGACAACTGAGCTGAACATCCCTCAGCTTCTGAATATGAGTAGAAATCTCTATTCCCACATGAAAGTTTCTTCCTGCCAGAGCAATCAGTCATTGAGGAATCACTCCGCTCAGTGCATTGCAGACAACTGCCAATTATGAACAATGGTATCAGGGCTACATTTATTAAATTCATGAGTCATGCAATAAAATGATCAAGTTACAGCTATAATGAAATGTTGGCATGTACTGCAGATCTGTTCTCTATTCCTTCCATAGCCGCAATTTCTGTACAGATCAGCAGGCAAAAAAAGACCAAGTATACTGTAAGAACCAGTTAATTTTACTGGCATGCAAATGTTGTATGCTGGGCATGCTGAGCTAATATTTTAACAGCAGTAACAACCACAGGGTAAGAGCGCCTGTAGGGTTTCTAAACTCAATATTATATTGTGCTGTCAAAGATCTTGGAGAAAATGAATAGTATAATTTTGTGGTGTGGGAAGTCAAGTACATCTTAAAAATAATGACAATGGAAGATCGACACTTAGCTGTTGGTGTTCCACTTCACTTATTTGTACTTTGACTGTGATAATTAGATCAAAACCTTCATGGGGTAGGCGATATGGAAGAGAACTTAACAGGTTCGAGCAAAATGGACAAAGCTTCAATGACAAAACCACACTGTAACTTATAGCACGAAGGTTTCTGTCTGTTAGGTGATTTTGGTGGCCATGGAAAGTAGGAATATATGCTGTAAAAACTTTGTACATACAATGTTTTAATAAAGAAATGACTGTTCAGTGTTAATTACATTTGAAGGTGAGTTGAGGAACCTGCAATCATTCCAACGCTTTCTTGGGCTATTTAAAACATTAATTAAAAAGCTATTAATGGCGAGTTTAAAATAATAGGAGCGTGGGTTGCCTCAGTTTTCACCTCCATGGCTAAATTGAGGGCGATGAATTTATCGGTCCAGAGGTGATTCTGTCTGTCAGATGAGATGGAAATCTGACAGAGACTGATGTATAATCAGAGATGCTCACTCAACAGAGACCTGTCAGAATTAGGATTAATGTATGTAGACAGACACAACAGATCAATGAGGCCACCTTCTCACCCTTGGTGTTAAAAACAGCTTCATCACTCTTTATCTATCACTACATCCCGCCCCGCTTCACTTCCCCATTGTTCATTTAGGAAAGTTTGCTCTTTAACATGTGTTTACTCTTCTCATCAAAAAGCCTTCTTAAGTGCTTTTTATGCTTTGCTAAATTAGGACCACACCCCAACTAATGCATATAAAAGTAAAATGTACTTCACGGTTATCGGGAATTCTGATGCTTTAATCTCTAAACATGTAATAGAGCGCAATTGTAGTTTGTAAGGAATATCAACTCTACTCCGAGTCAGTCTTTTTCTGCTTAAAAGAATAAAGAGGGCTAGACAGATAATGTGGTACACAGCTGCTTTGAAGATATTCACAGTATGGTTTGT